AATTACCAAGAGTCTTGCAATTATAGGGGCCTGTTCTTCAACAGGTAACTCGTGTCATTGGGTCACATCTTTGACTGGGACGAAGCCCCTAGCCAGGGTTTCAATCTCCGTAGTAAAATGTTGTGCATTTTCGCCAACAGGGACACCCACACTTGTAGGGATCTCAACCCGTAATTTTTCATGTATTGCTACTAACTTCTCTGTAGCCTTTCCTAGAGTAAGACCTTGCCCTAGTCTCGAGGTCGACCCTGTCAAGCACAAAACAAAAATTGAATAATAGAAAATAGTTTACATTCAACTTAAGCAAATAAAATCATACCTTTGTTGCTATTCGCAGAACATGGACTAGGCATAATAGATATCAGTGAAGCAATCGTCCCACCAGATGGCACATCTGAAGGTGTAGGTGCAGATAAGGCAAGTTTACGTTTTGGAGGCATATGTGTCCTAAAACATTAAGATATTCAGTTGATTATGCAAATATTTAATCATAAATAAAATAAATAACTAAAAAATAATAAATAATCACACCATCGCCTAGTAAATTTTCCTAAAATATTATACATCTCTGGTTCAACATCAGATTCAGAAATGCTATTCATGTCTTCTTCAAAATTACCATACTCTAATAGTGTCTCATCATCGTCGTGACAAATAAAATCATCATCGATATCCTTATCTTGTCTGTTTTCAGATGTCATTACCCTTTTACTTGGAATAAGCACAGGATCGAGTTCGGTCCTATGAAATGGGTAGGTATCATGATTTTCAATTACTATAGGAACATCCTTAATGGTTTCATCTTGTTGAAACGCATCCCTTGGATCAGAAAATTCATCATCACCTACTTCTACGTCAGGTAACTCTGGTATATCCCATATGCCTCGATGTTGGACCCTTTGTACTATTTGCCAATGTGGACCATACTTAGTATCATTAACATAAAATACTTGTTGCACCTGACTAGGTAGGACAAATGGATCATCTTTGTACCAACGACCTCTAACATCAATACTTATGAAATGTGCATCAACATGGATGGTTTTTCCCTTAGCAAGATTGAACCATTCACATTGGAACAAAACAACATGATATCCGAAAATATAACTCATTTCCCATACTTTACATAAGTAACCGTAGTAGTCAATTGTTTCGCTCTCATGATCCCCTTCAACAACCAATCCACTATTTTGGGTTTTACGACGGTTATCGCGATCTTTGGTGTGAAATCGGATTCCATTGCAAATGCAACCCGAATACATTCTAACTGTAAAATCAAGACCATTTGCTAATGACCATAATTCATCAGTAGTTTCAATTGAAGCTTCAGATCGCAATTGATTGATCTACAAAGAGACCATAAGGAAAAAAAATGATCATTTAACGACTAAATCAAACAATGGACTGCACTTAGTATTTCATAAAATATTACTTACTCATTTTTTGAACCACTTAGGAAATTCTTGCTGATGCCTTTTATGAATGTCTTGTTCATTTTGCTATCGCAATAGGTTTTTGTGCTCTCTACTTACAAAAAAAAAGTGATTTTAAATCATTTAAAAAAAATTAAAAGTATGCATTCACATATTCAAAAAGTCAACTTACTCCATATACGAATCTATGTCAGAGCTGTTATGCAAAACAAACCAATGAGCCATATCACGCTCCTTCTGTGACACCTCAGTTGTATTTGTTATTGTTCCGAAGGGACGAACATTTTGTGAAAACACCATCAGCCTCGGACTACGTTCACCACCATCGTTATTTCCTTCCTCATGATTAAATACAGTTTCCATCCCATTTAGATATAGTGAGCAACAAGTCAAACACTCGTTCACAATATAAGCTTCTGCGATAGAACCTTCAGGATGAGCTCGATTACCAACATACTTCTTCAAAGTGCCAAGGTACCTTTATACAATACAAGTACAATCAGATTTAAGTCAACAATACATGTATTGATATCAAAAGGATTTTTACCTTTCAATCGGGTACATCCAACGGTAATGTATAGGTCTAGCAAGAATTGCCTCCCGAGGCAAGTGCACAGCTAGATGGACCATAACATCAAAGAATGCTGGTGGAAAAATCTTTTCTAACTTGCAAAGTATTAATGCTATTCGATTATGGGATATCTTCAAGTCTTTAACCCTCAATGTTTTCGAACAAAGTTGTTGAAAAAAATTGCCTAACTCAAACAAAGCAGTATAGATTTCTTTGTCAAGATATCCACGTATTCCAATCGGAATGAGCCACTGTAGGAGAACATGACAATCATGACTTTTCAATCCTGAAACTTTTCCATCCTTAGTACTTACAGATCTTGAGATATTTGCTGCATAACCATCAGGATACTTAACTGATTTTAGGAACTCACAAAAACCATGTCTCTCATTTGGGGACAATGTGTACCATGCTGGAGGTTTCACATAAGAATCATCTCGCTTCTGGAGGTGCAATTCGTTCCTTATATTCAAATCCTCCAAATCTAAACGGGCCTTTTCAGTATCTTTATTCTTTCCATCAATACTAAGCAATGTTCCAAGAATATTGTCACATATATTTTTCTCTATATGCATGACATCAAGGTTGTGTCTGAGGTTTAGTGTTACCCAGCATAGTAACTCAAAGAAAATGCTTTTCTTTGTCCAATTAAGTTCCTCAGATGTGCGTTTTCTTTTCCTGTTGCTTGGATGTTTCCCAAACTTGACATTTGTCAATGATTGTAGTTGTTCCAAAATCTCATCCCCAAATAGTTCTAACGGCTTCGACCGCTTCTCATACTTACCGTCAAACAACTTACTCCGACGCCATGTATGGTCTTGAGGCAAGTAACGACGATGTCCCATGTAACATATTTTACTTCTCAATGGCTGTGCTAATGTATCGTAGTTACAAACTGGACATGCCATATAACCCTTTGTACTCCACCCAAACATGCAACCATAAGCAGGAAAGTCATTAATGGTCCACATAACGGCTGCATGCATTCGAAAAGTATCTTTGCTATATGCATCATAAGTTACTACCCCAACTTCCCACAGTTCTTTCAACTCATCGATTAATGGCCGAATATAGACATCAATATCTTTCCCAGATGATTGCGGACCGGGAATAAGCAATGACATCATAAAATATGGATGTTTCATACATTTCCATGGAGGCAAATTATAAGACATAAGTATGACAGGCCATACGCTAAATGCGTTGCTCATGTTTCCAAAAGGGTTAAAATCATCGGTGGCTAACCCTAATCTAACATTACATAGATCTCAAGCGAAGACAAGATATTTTAAATCAAATTCCTTCCATTCTACAGCATCGGCAGGATGCATTGACCCATTCTCATCAACTACACGTTTATCCTTGTGCCATCTCATATCTGTTGCAGTCTTCCTTGACATGTATAACCTCTGTAACCTTGGTTTCAATGGAAAATAACGCAGGATCTTATGAGGAATCTTCTTACCCTTGCCATCATTGACCCTATATCTAGATTCTCCACATTTTGGACAATTTTTTTGATTTTCATTCTCTTTCCAAAATAATGTACAATCATACTTACATGCATGAACGAGAACATATCCCAATCCCAAAGCTCGTAAGAACTTCTTAGCATCATAAATGGAATTTGGAAGTAAGTTACCTTTAGGGAGAAGAACCTTCAATATCTCCAATAACATGTTGAATGACTTATTACTCCACTTGTTCAACACCTTCACATGAAGTAATTTGACAACCGTTGATAGCAGAGTAAATTTTGTGCATCCCGGATATACCTCACGTTGAGCATCCTGCACTAATTTTTCGAACTTCTTCACATCCTCTTTATCACCACAATCACCAGTTTCACCAAAATCCGATTCCCCCCAGACAGTATCCATGAAAGCCCCCATACCCATATCTTCTAAGATATTAGGTAATTCATCATGATCATCAGCTTCAGAGTTTGTTGTGTCATCTTGGAGAGTTTCACCGATGTTATTATCCTCATTGTGTTCATTTGAAGGGACAGGGACCCCATGGTGTACCCACACCATGTAAGAAGCCATAATCCCTTTCCAGCACAAATGAATTTCTACAGTCTCTTCAGTATGCCATAATCCCTTTCCCGTTTGTGGCATTGCAAATCTAATAAACGACTTCACCCCATCAATTTATTGTTTACTCGATCTTTTCCTAACTATGATCCAACTCTTATCCATTTCAATTAATGTAACTACGAAACTGTATTTTTTTTTTAACTAATTAGATGGAGAAACACTAACTAAAATAAAGATATATATATCCATTCTTGATATATCCGAAACTAGACAACTCAAAAAATCATATCACCGAAAAAATATTCTCTAAATAAAAAGAAACTGTTAAATGGTTCTAACATTATATACATGAATAAATATATTATAGATATTAACATTTATACTTCACTAAAAATATCTTGATTGTGCTATACAATTTAAAAACAATTAAACTTTCTAAAATTTAAACATGCATTATGTTCAACAAAATTTTCACATAGTAAAATTTATATACATGAATAAAGGGACAAAGTGTTACCTAAAGGTCGCAAAAGAGACAAATATTCACTCACAAAAAAGACAAATAATCACCTGAATATCACAAAAAAAACAAAAATGAAATGGAGTACGAAAAGCAAGTACAAATGACTGCACTCTTTTAGTAATGCCAATTACAACTTTTACAACTACAACTATTTCGGAAAGAGTAAGGTTATTTGAACTTAAAAATTGACTTGTTATGTGGCTTTGGTGAAACTATTGAATCAACACCAAATTTTAATGTTTAATGTCCACAATCAATTCAAATTAGATTCACAGTCAATTTAAAAGTCATAGGGAATTAGGTCAGCAAATAAGATCTCAATGTCATTGCTCTTTCAGAAAAACCAGAACAATGCTCACAAAAACCCAACTTCATTGCTCTTTCGTGGCATGGTCGCTTCCCCCTCCCTTCCTCTCTCTTTCCCATCCCTGGCTTCAAGAACCCATGAGTGCAAGCTTTGGATAACGATCAAGAACCTTCTCTGTCATATCCAAATATGCAAGCTCAGTTATTTCCAGAGCCCTCGGCATTGCCCTTAGAACCAACCCATGATCAATCGGTCCCACCTTCCGCCTGTTCCCACTTCCTCTATTCCTCTCTTCCTCCACTCTATTTTCCTCCACTTTTGGTTTCTCTTCCCCTTCCAATCCAAATCTCCATGGAAACAATTTCTTATTATCCTTTTTCTTAATCAACAACCCGTCTGGTTAATGCTGATCTTTCGGGGTCAACCTCTGGGTCATCCTCTGCTAAAAATTCCCACAATCTCCTCCTTCTGATCTCAATACCTTCAAATTGAAATGTCACCTTTATCGATCCTCTATCATACCAATCTCTTGACTAGTACTTTGTACTAATCGATTTGAATTCTCTGCAATTAATGTGTTTTCAGAAGTTAAATTTTGTAATTCTTGAGGAGTGTTATTTTCATTGTCCCATAAAAGACCCTCTAATTCATTATAAAAATCTTTGTAAAGATTACCCATCAAGAATTCAGGGGCATAAGGGCTATTAAACCCATCATAAATTCCAACAAAAAGTCCCCCAACCACATGTACCCGATCTTCCCCCGCCTTCCCTAAAGCCCAGTGAATGTTACTGTCACTAACCTTCATCTCCGCTGCCTCTTTACCACCTTTTGTCGCCGACGACATATCTTTTCATCCACCGATGAAGTTTCGAATCGGCACCACCCACGGACCTGACAATTTGCCAGCACCACCAACACTGCCCCAAACCACCCACCCTCAAACCTTCAGCGATTTCTCATACTTTTAATTTTTTAAGTATATATAGAATATATATATATATATATATATATATATATATATATATATATATATATATATATATATATATATATATATATAGAACAAGTGCGGAAGACATGTGAGTTAGGTGATTCACAAGCTGTAGATATAAAAGTGGAATAATAAAAAATTCTTTATAAAATCTTGTTTATAAGAACAAGATACAAATTACAATAACAGAAATAAAATACTTACAACACTAGCACTAGTGGGCTAGTGGATGTAATGTGATAGGAATGAGAGTCTCTTCATTTGCATCATTATGAAGGCTTCTTACAATATGAGGATAGTGTATAGGGATAGTGAGCTTTTTTTTTAGAGGAAGGCTTATGAGAGCTTTCGGATGTCAAAGCTTTTTGAAGCAAAAGCTTGAAGAGATAGTGAAGACTGAAGTCCTTATATAAAGGTAAGAAGTTTGGAAGGAATCTCTGGAATGATTGCTTCTTTGTCTTCTGTGGCTGATTTTACTTGGGTAAAGTGTTTCACCTTAACCTTTCAATGGAAAGTAGAGGTAAATTACTTTTACCAAAGTAAATGCTGACTTTCGGTGTAGGTGGGCCCTACTGTTGTCTGAAAAAATCTATTTTCGGTGGAAAGCAAATCTGGACAAGGACTGACGGCTGCTTTTGGAGGAAAGGGCCGTTGTACCAAATGATTTCTTATCGATATATGTAATAGACAACTTTTCTTTCTTTAATGAAGAAAGTAGTGAATGAAGCTATCACACATATGAACAAGTACAATTATGGGGTAGAAATATCTACCAGGTCATCATACCATGCATATGGATCTTGACTGTCTTGAAATGGATCCCAAGGTCGGGGTAACTGAGGCCTGGGATGAGGCAGATGAACTACTTTCACTAGCTGCTTGTTGAAGAAGCTTCTGTGCTAACTCAATGAGGGCAGTAGACTTCTTCTTGGATTGCTTACTAGGGTCCTTAGAGGAGGACTTTTTCAGCTTGGGTTCTTCTGTAGTGGATTTTTTCAACTCTTCTTGAGTAGAAATCCTGAGAGAAGGCATGACCTGTTTGACTGGAGTTGCAGGGGTTAAGGTTGCTGGAACCGCTACTGGGGTTGGAACCTTGACTGGGAACTCCTGTTTGACACAGTCAATAATTGATCCTTGCTGGAACCAGGGCCACCATTTGACATAGAATTGTCTGGCGACATTATAACCGATAATTTTCCATTTTCATTTGTATATCCATGAGACTTTGTTCCTGCAAATAAATGTTAGTAAAATAGGAAACTGACTCTCATGTTTACTAGGTCGATAAACAGAGGAGAAGGCTATAATCTGATCTTGAAGATTAGCTAGAAAGATTTCATGAATGGGGCCGTGAATAAACCACCACTGGACGAACTAGGATGGAATCTGGCTCTTGAAATCTTTATGGAACTGTAGGAACCAGGAATGATCTAAAGAATCATTATGATAGAGGATGATTTTATACCATGATTCTTTGTAATCATAGTAATTAAATTGTCTCTTGTGATATGGCAAATCTCTAAGTAAAGAAGGATAAGATCCTCAATCTTTGAGAGAAATAATTTTTAAAATATTTAAAGAATGATAAATAACTTTACTGGGATCATTTTTATCGGCTATGGGCTTGATAAAAATGGAATGAGTAAAGAATAGTATGTCTTGATAGAACTGGAAGGTCTTTTTAGGATCAGATGGAATATAGGTCCATTCTGGCATAAGATATGCATTGACAAGGTCCATTGAGTCACTTAGGTGAGCATGCACTGGTTCAATAGCAATTTCATTTTGGGTATATGCTTTGATGTATTCAACTTTTGGGCCTTTATGGGCAAACTGTGGTTGGTGAGAATATGGGTTAACAAGTTGCCTAAGAGAGCCTGGTTGGGCTGGTGTAATAGGTCTTGGAGCCTGCTGGGCCATTTGGAGGAAAGTGCTAGGTGGCACTGTGGTAGATTTGGCTATTGGCCTTGTTGGGTTAGGATTATCAAGAGGTTGGAATCTATTGGTAATTTGGATAGCAGAGGATTGGCGTCTTAGACTTGGCAAGACTAGTGGGCTTGGCAAGGCTAACTATTTGTCAAGGTTTGTCTTTCCTTGGGCAAATATTTGACTCAATTTTTGTTTTCCAGTATCCCTCCCGGCTTTGGAAGAGGTGCCAGGGTTTGGATTTTTCCTGTCCGCCATGAGGTTCCTGCAGAAATTCATGGGTTAGGAAATCAGAGATGCAATTATTACTGCCTTTAATATATTCGATATCAAAATCGAAAATACTTAAAATAGATTGTCATCTGGCAAAAATCTGCTTACTAGCAATGTTTTGTACGTCTTTTTCTAAAACATACTTTGCTGATTTACAATCAACTCTTACTAAAAGATTATGATTTAATATATCATCCTGGAATTTAGAGATACACAGGACAATAGCTAAAATTTCTTTTTTAATAGTACTATAATTTGCTTGTGCCTTATTCCAGATACCAGAGTGAAAACGAACAATTTGCTATGGGGATTCTGGAGTAAGTTTCTGGAGGAGGATACCACCGTAGCCAATGTCGGAGGCATCAGTTTGGATGATTTTGAAGGAATCAACAGAAAGAATACCAAGGTAAGACAAAGTTTTAATGAACTGTTTGACTTGCTGGACTATAGAAGTATGAATAGATGTCCAAGGAGAAGGATTTCCTTTGAGTCTGTCATACAGAGGTTTGACAATTTTCCTAAGATCCTGATAGAAGTCAGAATCATAATTTAGGGAACCTAAAAATCGTTGAAGCTGGTTTTTATCTGTGATCTCATCAGGGAATTTATCTACAAATTGGATAGACCGACTGATGGGAACAATGGTGGACTGCTGGATGTTGTATCCTAGAAACCTTACTGAGGCTTGGAACAACTTGATTTTACTAGCTGAGATAACAAGACCATTGTGTTTGACAATCTCAAGGAATGCATAGAGGTGCTTCCAATGTTCTTCTATAGATCTGGAGAAGATGATGACATCATCTATATAGACTATAGAAAAATGACTAATGCAATTAAAAATTTCATTCATTATATTTTGAAATTCACTAGGTACATTTTTTAATCCAAATGACATTACATTCCATTCATAATGACCAAAATGAGTTGTAAATGCAGTCTTATATCTGTCTTCTGGGGATATCATGACTTGCCAGAAGCCACTTTTCATATCAAATTTTGAAAATATTACTGCATTACTAAGTCTTTTGATTAAATCCTGCTTATTTGGAATTGGGTACCTGATCCATTCCAAAACAGAATTTAAACCCTTGTAATTTATTACTAATCTTGGTGTGCCTCTTTCTAATTCTGCATTTTTGATGACATAGAAAGCTGGGCAAGACCAAGGAGATTTACTCTTCCGAATGATACCATTTTTGAGTAATTCTGAAATCTTTTTTTTTGCAGATTTCCATTACTTCATGGTTCATTTGGATGAGTCTGGATTTAGTTGGAATATTTTGTTCCTTAAATCCTTTAATATAAGGAAGCTTTACCATATATTGTTTCCTATGCCAGAAGGTTGTAAGAAGGTTAGAACATACTTCTGCTTCTAGTTTTGCTTTAAACTGATCAATCTTCTCAATTAAGATTGGATTGGTCAATTGTTCCTGAATTCTTTTGTGATTAATTTATTTTTTGAGAAATTTCACTTGTTTAGTTTTTTGGTTAATTAAATTAAGATACTTAGAGATTGAATGATCTTTAAGTTGTCTTCATTTTTTAACTTCTGGTTTAGTTACAAATTTGAATGTTACTGAATGACCAAGTGGTTTCGTGGTTACACCATTTGTATCTGTTGTAAAAGGATACAATAAATATACAAAGGGTATACCAAGGATAACATCATCAGTCATATCTTTTACTAAGATAAATGATGTCTTAAAACATACATTATCTTGACAGATATGCACATTTGGCAGTTTGTATTTAACATTCATTTTACTACCATTTGCTGAACTAAGTCTTTCAATGATTTTTTGATAATACTTAGTTGGGATAATGCCTTCCTGGATCCAGTTTACGTCTGCACCAGTGTCAATTAAGACAATGGTTTCTAATTCAAAATCATTATCAATGATGATTTTTACTTTAGAATGCCATTTTTGAAAATTAATTTTATTAACTACATTGATCCTATGATCATCATTAGCCTGGGAACATCCATCATGAGATGGCTGGTTCGTTACACCCAAAGGATCCACTAGAGAGGTGGAGGTTACGGGTATCCCCTGTAATTCTGTTCCATCATGAGATTCTGTCTTAGATTGTTCATTAACTAATGGTTGTTTTCCAGGATTAAAGTCCTTTGTATCGCCAAGACTATTTGTTGTTAAAAGACTTAAAGCTTCTGCAAATTTCTTGTCTTGAGCTTTTAAATCTTTTATTTCAAATTTTATTTTATTAACTTCACATTGGAGATCTTGCAAGGTGATTTCTTTCTTTTTCTCCTTATTGAATCTTTCCATTATGGTGTTAATACTGATTAACTGTTTTTGATTAAAAGATTGTTTTGTGTCTTTGTTAACAAACAAATCTCTTAATTTTTTGATATATTTGACCTTTAAATCTGGGTCTTCAATTTTATTAATTAACTCAATGAGGATATGTTCTTCCTCATTTTGTTTTGTTATAACCTTAACTGTTTTACAGCAACTATCTTTGCAACCTAATTTGACCTTAGGTTCACTAGTGTTGCTAGAGACTGAATGGTAATCTGAAGAACTTTTAGAGCTGCTTGAGTCATCTGAACTTTCTTCACTATGGGAAAGATTACTTAACCTAAAAATGTTGAGAATTTCTTCTTCATCTTTTTGGGTTAGGTTTAATCT